ATAACCTTTGCTTTCTGATTAGTTGGGCGAACTAATAAGATTTTTAATTAAAATTTGGTCAGAGACTAGCGAGAGAGAGAGAGAGAAGACAGTGTGAGTACTCGCATTCACACGCGGCAAGCCAACTTACAAATGGGCACGCACAAAGTTGAGATTTGAGAACTGAAAAGTCTCCAATCCTGCTCTCCGCAGTCTGGGTTAATTGCTGTTGCTGTTGCGGCCAGGAAATTACCATGACTTGTACCGGCATCCACTCATCATTTTCGCCGCACTCGGCGCAGTCATAAATGCCTCTGTGGCAGACCACTTTCGTGGATCTGTACGAAAATTAAGCAAGGAACGAATGACAAAGATCATGCAGGTCTCCCCTTTTTCTATTCAAAGGAAGTAGGGGAAGATCCTTCTATATAGGGCGAACTCTTTGTCAATGCCTGATTACAATAGCATCAAGCTGAGCTGACAAATAGTTGGCAAATTTTTGGCAGATAGAATGATTAATTGAACGATCCCAAATCAGAAGCTGTGATTCGGTCCAATGCTTTTAAAGGTTTCACTGATCGAAGGAGAGTGTAGCTGCTCCACTGGCGTCGAGATTGACAGGGGATACAAATGTGTCTAGCATGTGAGGCAATGGGAGAGCAGGAATTGGAGAGGGGGGGTACAAGGGAGGAGCCAGTGCTATCACTCCTCCTCTCCTCCTCCCTTATTCAGGCTGTCTACCACAGGCTGTCAAGTAGGCCCAAATTGTCATGTGTGAGTGCGTACGTGCGTCTGTGCTGGTGCTTGTGTGCCTCCGATGGTGTTACATTTCTTCGTCGGCACATCTCTCTGCCTCTCGCAGTTTCAACTAACCACTCCTTCAGGGTGTCTAAGCGTGTGTGTGTGTGTGAAACACGATGCGATCGCACACACATTCGGTCTGGTCGTTTGTGCACAGTAAATCTGACAAGCCTCATAAACTACTCGGATGAGTAGTGCTGGTTTGGACTGGTCCGGGATAGGCTAAGCTCGTCTAGTCTGCGGATGATGCAGCAAACCTGATATTAGTGGTACACCACTTACTTGTCTGCCGCCTAATGTGCACTCATGTGGCCATAATTTATCCAATTGACTAGGAAAATGACTTGAGGTGGAGAATGCTTGTGCCTGGTTGTTCCTAATGGATCGTCAGAATTGTCCCCGCGGTAAGAAAAGATGCATGTATCACAAACTACCTAGAGAAAGGCTGGAAAGGCAATAGCAATATTGCGAAGTCTTGGCAGCTGGTAGATAACCACAGAAGTAAGTACTTAATCACTTTTTTTTTAAAATTGACAATTCTCCGCTGATAGGTACGAATGGCGAGATGTGATTTCTGCATCGCGGTTGTGAAAGCAATTGGGGAGTTTGAGGATCCACTATTCGTCATGACTAACATAATTCTGATTGTAGTCGTCGACAAGGCATATGTTCATTCATCGTCTTGTGTCAATTGGATGTGGAAGGGACAGGATATGTGTTTGGAGATGGGCTTAGAAAAACTCCCTCCGAGGCGATCTCTCAGCCCCCACTGCATCCCAATATAATCAAGTTACTTCCAGACCTGTATGGTTGATATCAGAAGAATAAAACACTTTTATGACGCCCCTTAATAACCTTTACTTCCTTGATCTTGATAGTGAAAGCTTTATTCAGTTGCAATGACCTAAACTCTTCATCAAAGTAACTAGTCATAGCACTCCTTAACATAGTGAAATGCCTCTTAGTGACATAAGGCACTAAAATATCATAACCATGGTCAAAATGACCTTGACATCCTCAATTTTACCAAGGTGGCCGCTCCTTTTTTGTCCTATTTTCCACTACTATAGTGCTGCCAAGGAAGTGTCCTCCTCATATTTTTGTCTCAACGATTTCTTATGAACTAATATGTTTTCTCATTTAAGTAGTATATTATGCTGCTGCATGATGCTTAGTTAGTAGGTCCTTATAATAATTAATTCCAGGCACAAGATGCCAATTTGATACATATTTATGTAAATATGAATAAATGACAAAATCATGGCGTAAACTTTATTCGCCATAAATCTGCCTGTAGCCTCTTCCATCACATTATGGAGAGAGTTGAATGACGAACGGTAGTTGCTAGCTGAGTCGCGGAGTTTCTGCTGCGGCGTCCCTAGGCGGTCTGGTGAGCCAAGAGTGTCGCGAAACTGGACGTGACCGGTCGACCACCACACCAAATAGCCGCATCACAGACATACACACACACGCGCGCATTCAGATGATTTGATGTACATGAGTGTGTGAGTGTGACCCAGATTTTCAGATGATAGGCGCGCACCTTGAAGCCAATTCGCATAAAATATCGGTGAGTTGAGCCAGAGAATGTGATTATGGTGATTGTTACATTGCCTTTCACCTCACTTCATCGCATCGCATTGCAGTGTATTGCATATCCAACCCAGCTCTCCGCTCTACGAGTCAATCGGCCCAGTCTTGCATCATTGGCTCCCTGCCACCTCCACCCCCCTGACTTTCCCTCCTCTGCCCTGTCCCGCCCCCCACCCCATTCCCTACTCTCTGTTCTCATGCTTGCGTGAACACCAAACACACAAGCAAAATTTATAAACCACTTCGTTACTCCACATACACACACACACACGTGAGTGTGCTCACATCAACTTTTGTGTGCAGACGACTAAATTAACTGCTCTTTTTTTCCACTTGCAGGTAAAAAAATTTGTCGTGCTAACGTGGATAGATGTTGAATAACACTGTCATCACAGGAAAATGATGCCTTTGTAGGATAAAAATAAATTTGTAAAATCTTAAGCTAGTCTGCTCCGATTCTAACTTTTATAGGATATCCCTTTTTCTTTCGAAAAGGGGAAATTTGCCCTGATTATCCGCGGTTTTACCTCATGTGACTGTCCAGTGCTTATTGTTGGGGAATGACGATGATGAGGTTGAGGCATTGTCGCCGTTCTCCGCCTCCGCCTCCTTTTTTCATAGTACTTAGTTCTGCTACCGCATTCCACACTTCCTTTGCGAGGAGTCCCCTTCCACCTTGAGTAGTTGGGAAAAGTTAAGCTTGATTTGTTAACCCGACTAGTTGAAGCCCTAATCACTGAGTTCAAAGCGTAATTCATAAAAGAAAATTCAAAATAAGACAGACAGCTTTCACGGCTAAAGTAGAGGAAGGACCATGGGACGGTCGAGTTTCAACGTATATTCTAACTGATCTAGCCCCTTACTCTCCACCTTTTGGTCTTGCTTTCTAGCAATGCCTATAGCCCTTCTGTGATTTTCCGGCTTCTAGAGAGCGCGGAAGGCTTGTTGTGAGACCTGTAGCTTTCCAATGGAGTGGGTGAGGTGGAGCAGATCTAATTCACGCCTTCAAACAGTGACTGGTGGATGTAGCTACAACCGGAAACAAACAAAGCAGAGAAGACTCCACACAACGTCATTACGTATCGAAACCATCCCTAATCTCCCATCCCCTTTGCGCTAAAGCCAGAACACTGAGGTGTACACACACACAAATGTGGACCTAAAATCACGTACACCGAGGAAGAAGCGAACAGGGAGGGCAAAGGAGAAGGAGGCGGCGATTTAAGCCGTGCATGCGTGCACATGAATTCTGACACGCTGGGACGAGTAAATCGTTACATCAGCACACACACACACACACACACACGGACAGGCACAAGCACAGACCTTTCAACTTCTTGCGGTTATGCGTGCCTGTCAAGAGGATGTGCAGCTGCATGCCTACCTACTTGCACGCCACCCGCGATCGTACATCATCCCCTCGATTCTCCTACGTGTGTTTGTGCCGAGGTGTGTGCAAAGATGTACCGATCATGCACAGAATCTGCACGACAACAACGACGACAAGGCCAAGGAAAGACGACACACACACACTCACGAACTGAAGGGGAGGTGGTGGTGTTAGTGTTGTAATAAAACAAATTACGTGTGCTTCTGCGCCGGTCCGTTTGTGCCTGGGTGTGTAAGCATTTCTTTGACACATTGATGAGGTGAAGGGGAGTGATGGGGAAGTGAAGGAGGGTGGAGGGTACTGTATAAGATGGGCACTTTGATCGTCTGAGTTATTGCCTCTTACTGTGGGTCAAACTTCACATGTCGGGTCACTCGTAGATGGGGCTGTCGAATGTCTCTTTGACCTATTAATCCTGTCGTATTAAAAACGCATCTCTCACTTTCTTGGGCAATTAGGTTATTTTTTGAATATTTCCCATTGGTTAGTTAGGTAGGTAGATAGTCTGCCATAATTAAAGTAGAGGAGATAGGTTAGTTTATCCATTAGCCCTGGAGTAGTGGTGAAAGTCCGCTAATGTTCGCAACCGGCAAGAAGACGGTAAATTACTTAGAGAATGTGCAGTTCCCTCAACTCGTGTCGCATTGTTGTTGCGAGCCTACCATTTTACAGATTACCACAGAGTGTAATGCAACTTCAAAGGAGCTGAGAGGGTGAGAAGTAGATGCATTCTCTGTCGCATTGCATTGTGAGTGTCTTTTCTCCGTGCGAATTTCATCTACAATCACACCATAGTTGCAGTCGTATTCAATCAAGTCTCGGGAGCCTGGGTTAGCAATTTATTTCGTCATTATTTAAATTCGCTTAAACAATAACAAGTAATACCCGCAACCGTGTCTCAACTCCACCGGGGAACCCACAGTAGGACAGGAAGTAGAAGCGGCTTTTGCATCTCCTTTTGGAGCTTCAAGGAGTTTAAAGGGGTCTGACTTTAACGAAGGCACCGGGTATTTGTAAGGATGACTTTTTTCCTGGAGGATAAACGTTCTTTCTGGCCGTAGAGTCAGCCTAGAATTTACAGAGCCACTTTTCTTTTCTCCACTCTCTGTGGCTAAGACAGACGTTGTATAATTTTCTCCACCAAAGCGATGAGCCGACATGGAGTAATGACAGCACATAGATTAAAGGTGGCGGTAATAAGATAGTTTATAGCACAAAAAAGAAGGAGGATATAAGATCACTCCCTTACGTTGCCACTAGCGGAGAGATAAAAGAGGAATTGGGGAGAGAGAGAAAAGAAAAGGCCTACATAAAAAGGTTATAGTGTTGAAGGATTACAGTGAGGGTAAAGTAGGCAGCGGACGCTCACGCTTCTCTCGTCTCCCATCCTCTACCTGCACATCACCACCGACCCCCTCACTCCTAACATCGGCCAATATGGAAGCGGAGAACTTGAGCTTCGGTTGTAGCAGAAGTGGTGAATCTGCAGTTGATTTGATCTGTGAATGATGTGGAGGATCGTGTTGACCTCTCGGGGTTGTGACTTCGGGGTTTTGAAAGGGTAGAGGTGGTGTAATGAATGACCATTGTTCGTTCCAGCTAGTGGGAGGGTCTAAGCAGTGCGGAGGCAAGGATTTCCCATTTGGTGATTTTGTGGAAAGGCAAGGTAACACCTCACTTGCAACAGTGGTGGAAAAAAATTGACGATCCTGATGGGAATTGCGGCCGTGGGTGTAGAGAGAGGAGGACGAAGAGGTTGATTGAGATCGACTTAAGTATCCACCTTGATTACGGTTCTTTCGAGCTCCACCTGTTGCACCCGGACTTACGCTTCCTAGAGGATTGCAGAAGTGCCAATTATACTCCACCATGTATCACCTATCCTTACCAGTTTCGTTAAAGCGTTGAAGAATCTTGCTCACACAGCCATGCGACACCTTCAGTTGGCGTGAGATATCACACGGTCGTACGCCATTTCTTGACATCTGGACGATCCTCAATCGGGTCTTGTAAGGTAGCGGGCGTCCGTTGATAAACATACCACCCAACTGATTGATACGACCTTGACCTAGAAATATGGTATCATGTTATATAACTCTTTCATACATTCCAGTTGCTTTCACAAAGTCAAGTAACCAGGTCAACCCGTTTTGTTTTAGCCCAGAAAGCCTACTTACATGATTTGTTTGACTTTACCTCATAAATACTCCAGATACGTGTATGCAAAATTTTTTTATGCACCTGACCGAAAATAAGGTGATGCGGAGGCGGATGGGGGAGGGGAGGGGTGACATTCGTGATTGGGACTAGTGTTTTTTTTCAAGTGCTAGCATGTACCCGATTTTGTTAACAAGTAAAATCTTAGATAATAAAGTGCTTTTAAAAAATAAATTTTAGAAACAAAAGTGTTTTATTTAATAGTTGCTCAAAATAAAAGTGGAGTAGAGGTATTAATCCCGTCACATTTTATTGCCATTTTTATGTATTGTATTTAAATTGATAAGTGATTCTGCAAAAAACTTCGAAAATTTTTTGCAAAACTCAAAGTTAACCTTTATCTGAAACTCATTTATTCCTGCACTAAAGCAAACCAACATTTATTGTTAAAAAGGATTTAATGCATATTTAATATTAGCTTAGGATAGAGACAAAATTTAAATGGAAAACAATCTATTTACATTGAATACAACCTAGAGATGCATAAGCCGGTGGTAGATCTCCTTACCCTCAAAAATTATAGCGGATCCACGGTCGGAGCCGGAAGGGGTCTGTTTAGTAGACGTTAATGTCGAAAGATTCACAATTTCCACACTTTGCGAGGCACTCTTTGATCGTGCTGAGAGATTTTGTGGTGGTGAAGGCAAAGGTGGAGGCGGTAGTGGTGGTGAACTCAAAATTTGGTTCATGGCTCTTCGATAAACAGCTGGCGGTAGAGCCCCGGAAAGCAAAAGGGAAGGATGTGGTAGTTCGTGAATCTTTGCGGGGTTCATGAGAAGGGACTGGGCGCACCAGGAAGGACTGCCAGGATCTCCACCACCCAGTGGAGGCATGGGAAGGGGAAATGGTGGTGGAGGTGGTAGGGGAAGAGTTGGAGGAGAAGAGAGAGGATTTGCTGTCTGTAAGTCTATCAATCGCTTAAGAGCAAGCCGGGCCAACGCCAAAGAGAACGGTTCCTCACAGAAATGAGAAAAAGGCGATAGGGATGAAGAAGTTGAGGTGAAGGTTGGAGGCGGCGGTACTGGAAGTGGACACGGATCTGAATTGCTATTTACTGGAGGCTGGATATTTGGTAGGGGTGGTGTGAGTGATGCCACAGAGTAATCAGGTATCTTTCTCGGACTACGCTCCATCAAACTAAAATAGACATATAAATGTTGGTAAATAGTTCTAAAAGTAGTCAAAATACAGAGGACATGTTAAAGCTAACGTAAGACACTAAAAATTAAGAATGATCAAGCCCATCTCGAGTCGAATGCGTCTACCAACAACAGAAACAGGTAAAGAAGAGCTCCAAAAAAGCACTGGGGATAACTACAAGGTCTCTTAGTTTGTTCATCCACTTGGTGAGGGAATTTAAGAGTGCGTGACCTACCAAACAGTGTAAAATCAGCAATTGAGCAAGCGGGACAGATAAGGGTGACGTTCCATTTGGCTCATTGGCTAGTTATGCGCATTACAGATGACATGGACGCACGCACGCGCGTGCCAATGATTCGGCACCGGAGCGTAACACCTCCCACAGTCGCACGCACGCATGCACACAGGTCATGCATGAATTCTATTGGTCGTAAGCTTTTTAGGCGTAGCCAATGTACGCGGTGAGCGGAACTGCACGCCTCGGTGGATTAGTGCGACGGCCACATCCCGGTTACATGTCCTTCTTTTAATGAGATAAGATTGTGCTTGCTATCTTGTGATCAAAAAGATTTCACAATCGGAAAAAGTTCGGGAAGCAAGCATAGTAAGTTGATTATTTAAAAAATGAATTTTTGCAAACATAGCATTAAATACTTGGTGATAGTGCACCCATGTCAATGGGAAAACAGTGAGATTTACTAGGTTGGTGCGGTGTTCATTAAAAAGGGACGACATTTTAATCCAAAGTATCACCCAATTATGGTAATATGATAGGAGTCGTCAATGTTTACAATACCTTTGATTAAGGTGCAAGAGGCGGCGGATTTTCCATCAGATTACCGGAATTAAGTCAGCTACTATGTGACAATCTCGTCAAAAGTGTTAAACGTTGGTGGGCCATTTAAGAGCTTGGGCAATTTTCCATTGGTAGACCTTCTTAAGCAAACGATTGCGCTTGTAGCACTTGATGCATCCGTTGTCCCTTTGTCTTGAGTTTTAAAAACTAATCGCCGATTAGAGAATGTACCAAAATGAGCGAGACTAGCTTAAGGTGATAGGTGTTTCAGGACTCCCTTGATAACACGTGTCAAGAGACGCAGCCACTTTATACAGGCATCAGGGAATGAATTTAATTCCATAAAATTTGGAAGCTAATTGTTCGAACAAGAAATACTTATCTCGTAAAGCTAGAGCTGTGTTAAGTTATGGATCCTTTCTTCCTATCATATTTATAGTCTAGAATCTGTGTGATGGGAGGTCAACATACCACCCAAAACCAAAGTGGTTGCCGCTACTAGCAAAATTATAAGTCGTGATCAATGTGGGGATGGCTATTGCTGGTCATAGTTTGCTTGGCTTCCACCTACATCGACAAGATGGCTAAAATTGGGGAAAGCACTGTGCGAATGAGTGTTATCCCTGGATTTCCTCGGTGGCATTATTTTAGCCATTGCTTTACACCTTTCTGGACTAAACAAATCAACCGTTAATGGGCTTTGCGACGGCATTAAGAAAATCACTAACTTATGGAACAATTAGCGATTAGAACACTGGGCCTGAGTTAGGACTCAAGACCTAGCCTACCAGAATCCTTTCTCTATGTCCTCGTTAAGAGAAGACAGTTAGGTTGGAGGTTGGAACTTTATGCCATTTTTTGAATGTAAAAGATGTGGAAGACCAATGTTGTCCAGGCTTGCTGCAGGAGTTTTTCGATGGTACAGAGAGACTACAAAAAAACCAGGTACCGGTCTGAAAACCAAAGAATCCGTGTATGCAAGGACAAAATTCGTGAAAATTTTACGTCAAAACACTAAAATTCTGGACGGGGAGGCAATGCAACCCAACACTTGTAGGTCGATCGCCAATTACTTCACCTGCGCCCATTCCTTTTTGATAACACGGGCCATAAACTGTGTAAAAGTGGTATCAAAGTGATTTTTATGGGCGAAAATGATGCACTGCTTTGATGTAATACAGTTGGGCTATTTTATGATCAATTTGAACGTGTTCTTGGATCTCATTTCATCGTACCTAAGGACATGACCGGATGCCAATTTCGTAGACAGAGAGACCTGTAAATTGAACACGCGTATCTGTGAAAAATGAAGGTAACACGTCATCTGGGAAAGCTACAAATAATATTGACATCCTGAACAGAAATCACATGAAGCATAGATAGCAGCAATGACTTCGTGCAGCCTGTCAGGAATTGCCAAATTGGGTTAGTTACATACATGTATTGTAGGACGTTGATTTGAAACGAAATTGATAGCACGAAGGGCTAAGTTGATTCCCCTTACCTTCACTTATTTCACTTCATAAGGACGAGAACCATTTTCGATTAATCGCTGTCTGACTTGTAAAGAGGAATGACTTTGCGTGGCAACCTTCCTCACCGTCCACTGTATATTTACGCCACCGCGCACTTTAAATGGAATCTCCACTTCATCTATACCACTCTTTGCCTACCTTTGGGTGTGCGGCTGTGCGCTTAAGACCGTTAGCTCAAATTCGCCTTAAAATTGCATAAAATGATAAAGACGAGGTTCACCTACTCCATACGACTGGAAGATGGACAAGAAAACTTCTCTTTTAGAAGCAGTCACGATTTGTGAGTGAATTTACGCAACTACCTAGAGCCTTGCATGGCACCTCGGACTGGGGGGAGGTAATTGCCTCAATTTTAGCCACCAAATTTCTTTTCTGAAACACTTTCAAGTGGTTTTTATCATCTCTTGTTAATCACATTATCTAGGAAATAATATAAGAAATAGGATGAACACTAGAAAATGGAAGTGAGCTAAAATGGGTTGACTAAGGTTGGAATGTTCCTTGCCTTCTAGAGACACAACGCTTTTAAAAACAGTGCACTTTGTATGCGAGAGAATGACAAAATGTAGATTCCTAGAAACCTTTAGCTGCTTTATCACTACATAAGTTCCCCCTTGATGCAAACGTCAGTTGACTAACCTGCAAAATGAACGCTCTATGATACCTTTTGTTATTGAATAGTAGCATCTTCTGTCAGTAGTATCATGCACCGACAAATTAATAAATTAATTTCGAAGTTTTGCGAAATCTATTTGAAGTAAGATACTGTGATGACTAAATTAGATGATGATAACGAGGCAGTGATAACATCGACATCTGTCCAACGTTTTGGCTTCATTAACCGCTTCATGAATCTTTAGAAAGACATTTGATTTTTCTTTTTTCCTTTAATACCTATTTAGATCTGATTGAGCAATCCTAGTAAAGAGCAATCTCCTGGAAGCGCATTGTACCAGAAAATTGTTGGAATTGCGGAGGACGAAGTAGTACCTCCCTTAAGGCTTGCAACCACGCCCGCCTTAAATACTCCAGCAAGCTAATACCAAAAAAACAACAAGAACTCCTTTCATCTTTTGTTCTGGTTGCAAACATTAAAAAGTTAAGGGGATTTATGACAAACTGAACAAACAAGGGAGGTCGTCTCATATCACAGCTGTTTCAGGCGCCTGGAGACTGATTTCCAACCTTCAGTTACTTGAAATTTGAAAGAATTTATACATGTGTTTCATTTGAAGAAGCGATATCGTCTGGTCAAAATCCATGGACGAAAAGAGACGATATGTGCAGTACTTGGGGCAAATGTGGGTTGAGGAGAGGAGAGAGGAGGGTGTGCACCGGCGAAGGGATAAGGGAACAAAGCTGAGAATAGTCAGTGGAGCATAATTCTTTCTTCCTCTCCATTAAGTCACTCACGTTCACCTGCTCGCTTCAGTGGTTGTTAAAAGACATTAGGATGTGGAATCCCGCATACTTCACTACAGTAGATTAAATAAAGTTGTTGATAAGCTGGTCCACCTTTTATTGATCTAATCCTACCAAAAGACCTTCTCCTCAAGCCATGTGTAATGAGTCCCTTTGTTATTTATGAGGTTAAGAATCCCCTCTCTTCATAGGGACATTATTAGTCAGTTGTCAGAGTACACCCGAGAAACCACTGCTACGGAGTGGCAAATTTGATATCTCTTCGTGCCATGTGGTTGCTTAGGTGTAACACAATCTTTGATAAACACCATGTAAGTGTGTAAAGAGGGGATGACACTAGACAACTAACACAATCAGTCGCCACAACATCTTATGTTACATCGATAAATAATACGATGGCTGCGGCTTTTGTGCTCATTCTATATTCCATTAATGGGATATTTAATTTGGGGAGAAGTAACAATGGAGGCTTGGATCATTTTCTTCCTCTTTGCATTTACTGAACCTCGATAATTTGCTGCGCCCAACTGAAAAATAAAGTAAAGAACTTAGCAAACCATGGGGACAAATGAACACTTATTTAATAGAATAAGGGCGAATAAAGTACTGGTTGTAGTGAAGGGAGGCTATTAGCATGACTCAAAGGAAGTAGCATAGACCAAAGGAAAACCAGAGGCGAACAAATGTACGGTTAAACTAGGCAACAAAACACTACACTAGCATGCAGATGTTATTTCATGACAATCCTAAGAAATTAATTTAGTTAATTCATGTTTGGTTATTCATGAGAAAAGTTTGAAATGGCGTATTCTTATAACAGCGTAAAATCCTAGCAAGAAAAGTTTTGTAGCTGTTTTTGTTTCGCACACTTTTGCCAAGTTACAAGAGGCCAAGTTCGACAAATCCTATGCCACCCATTTCAGAACTACTTTGTAAAGAAGACTTACCGTTCAAAGGACTTAAAACCGATAGTAATTCTGTCAATCAACAAAGGCTTTACGAAGGAATGTAGAATGTTGGTCAAAAGAGTACTAGGTGCAAAGCTTTAAAGATGGGCGGAGCTGTGGTATACCTTGATCATCAGTTTACATCGTCTTGGTGATACAGCATGGACTCTGACCATGCCACTATCCCCCTAGCCCTTTTATAAGCCAATAAAATAAGCTTTATTTTAGTGACACGTCTCCTCTCATCTCCAGGAAAGTTTTAGCATACTGTAATTATTTTTACGAGCATATTTCGGTTTGGGAATTCTACCAGTTAGGTCAAACAAAATTGGGCAGAGTAGGCTAAAGATGCAAATGTCATGACATGCCTTGAAAGATTATTAAAAACACAGCAACGGCACTTGGTTTTCGAAGATTTTTAAACCAGTAGATTGACATTTTGTAGTCATTCTGCAGGCAAAGATAATAAACAAACCACACTGTAGCCTTTTAAAATTATATTTAGGCCAGAGTACTACTCGCAGTGTTTTTAAAGGCTGATTTACCTTACATGAAAACTTAAGCATTATTTGTTTAAATTTATCATCTGCATATTTTTGCGCAACAGGGCTTGAATTCATTGGTTGACTTGTGTAGCGGCTTGCTTTAACCGGAGTCGTTTTCGGGCCATCCCATTATGCGCAGTCTTTTTGCGGCCATTGTTGTGATATCTACACTGACATCGTTTACTGTTATTAATGTTTATTATCAAAAGAAGCAATTCTACCCAACGGTGGTTTTTCTAACGAAGCACAAGCCATATTTTGCAGTACTGCGGCATAACTCTTCACAAACTTTTAGTTGATTGTTCTACAATGCTTTGCTTTTCTACTTGTCATTGCAAAAATAACAGCCTGGATTTTCTTTGGTGACATTCGAAGAACAGAGATAGACGTAATTTCCTGCCTTACGATGAGTTACTATTTCTTAGAACGTATTTTCGCGTTTAATGTATACGTCATTCGACATGTGCCTGCTTTTCACGTTTTTTCAGGAGGATATCAGTACAAAGTTTTTGTTCTTGTTCTCGGTTATAATATTTATGAAAGGATTCCACTGGCTGCTAGAAGGACGTGTGGATCTTGTAGGCCTGTATCTTTACAATATTATGGTTCCTAGATGGAGCGAACTCCTGTTATCAGGGCTTCATTTCATGTTCGAACAATAAGTAATCTGGCTTCCTTATTTAATATCTCGTAGGCTTTATGGCATTATTGGTGATAATTGACATTTTCCACATTTCTCATTTCTACTGGGGTGTATCTACGCAAAACGTGGCATCTCTTGCTGTTGGCGCTGAGGTATCGCAAGTTCTTTCATCGCTTTTTTTCCATGAACAAACTATTTACCATTTATTCATATCTTTTGCTGGTTTTTACAGTATTACATTCTATTTTTCGAACTCATTTCCACAATGATGCGTTACGGGCTTCAAGTATTTGATTCGATGCGTGATACCCCATGGGACCAGAAATCGCTCTATCTCCTTTATGTTGATGTTTTTGTTGGAATGCTTCGTGTTTTCTTCTACCTGGAGTTCGCTCCGATACTGTGGAAACATCACCCTTTTCCACTATTTATAATTCGACCAATTTACCTGAATCTACGTTTCCTAAAGAAGACAATTAGGGTAAGTTGTTGTCATCATAATGTTCAGTTGTCATACAGTCAATATCGGTGAAATAATTGCATTTATGCTTTCTTTACCTGCAGAATCTGGTGATGTCACGACGAGCTATTCGACTAATGAATAGCGTGTTTCACGATGTCAATGCTGCTGATATGGCTGCTTCGAGTGATGCTGTTTGCATTATATGTCGGGAGGAAATGATGCCGCAGTCAGACACCCTAACTACCATCGCTCCGGGGACCATAAAGCGTCTCCCATGCGGCCATATCTTTCACGCGACCTGCCTTCGAAACTGGTTCCAGCGTCAACAAACCTGTCCCACTTGCCGCCTCAACATCCTTCGTCGACCAGGTAATTCGGATCAAGCCAATCGACCTCAAAGGCGTGGCGCCAGACCAAGTCAAGGCCAACAGTCGCAACAACAGCAGCAAGATCAAGTACAGAACCGAAGGAGTGCAAGCACTGCACAAATCCGCATCGATATTCAACATATGTCTGGAGGAAATACTGTGGAGACCAATGTTCAGGCCCTGCCTTCTGGTGTAAGTCTATCACAATGGTAAAATGGGGTTTAACATATTTTCTAATGTTAAAACTTGATTCCTGCTGTTTTTGTACTTGTATTTTTCTAGACTACGGGTCCATTCACATATTTCCCACCAAATATACAGTTCTCAGGGGTCGCTCAGACGAATCAAAGCGGCAATGGCGTGCCTTCAATGTTTTCCACTCCCCCGATTATTATTCCCGGTATATCACATCTTTTTCTATTGTGTTCATACACTGATAAAAGGATAAAAGGAAACTCATATCGGCATGTGATGTTGGAAAACTCACTGATTGCTGGTTTCATGATCCAACGGTAACCCTAGTCTTACAGCCCACCGGTAAAGCCCACTTGATACCGTTGTAAATCACTTCACTCATTTACATCTATGGTTTCATAATTTTATCGCTGTTTAATTTAAAAGGGCATGATTTTTAAGCTACGATTACTGCTTTTCTGTTGTTACTGCTGTTTTTATACCTGGTGATGCTGAGCGAAAAATCTCGAATCTTAGGCCACACATTGCATTTGGTTTCCTAAGACAGATGTCCGATTCCTTCAATCTAATTCGTGCATTTGATGAGACCTTTGAGACTAGGATTATTTCCTAAATGACGGGAATGTATCAGAGCATCGCCCATGTAGTTCATTCTCCATCCATATCAAAACAAAACAAAGGTCTCGGAGCATTTGTAGTGGATCCGTCTTCATTACTTACCCCGAATGGAAAGTCTGGAAGATATTCCGCTCCAGTCCTATTTACGATAATTTTTGTTTTCTACAAAATCGCCAAAATGTGACTTAGCAATAAATCTGTTGATTGTACTTGTGCTTTTGCTTGTACTTTACCTTTAATTAATTAAATGAAACGAGGATTATACCATCACCGTAGGCAGAATGTCGACACTTCGCGAGCTTCTCTGACTTCTCAAATTATCTAGGGGATGGACGATACTTAGTGAGAAGTTGTGGAGAAATGTTTAGGTGTATTCACTCAGTCTAATGAAGCTCTGCTCTTTACTAATGGAAGCAGAAATTGAATTGACATTGCGGCGAACCCTACTTCAAGACAGAAGACGTGTGATTTGAAGACCTCATTGCGCCACTTATGGCTAGTGAGGGGCCCTCAAGTCCCTCCTGTTTTGGTTAATAATGGTGCTCGTTATTCCAATATTCTGTATAACCCTTAATGCATTGATCCATCGTATAAAATTATTGCTTCTATTCTACTTTTCGTCATGTAGAATAGGAGTTTCACTACGATTGGTTAGAAGTACAATAAGTTGCTGACTTATTAGGTTACCGACACCTCCGTAGGCCTCAAATCTCCCTAGTTAATTGCAGTTTTACGAAGCCACTAATGCTCAAAATTGTAATAATCTGGATCTAGGCAGAGTATCAACAATTTGTTGACGTCGTAGGTTGCTTATTAACAGCACCAAGTGAAACACTATCCATTGAAAGAAATATCTACTTCCTTAAAGGTGACCAATTCCTCCCTGGTGTCACCGCGCCCATGCCCGAGGCGCCAGTAGATCTGGCGCAGTCGGCTACCACAGAGCGCGAATTACGAGCCAGCGTGGAGGCGCGCATCGCTACGCTGCAGCGTATTCAGCTCCTCCTCGACGCCTCCATTGTCCAGATGAATTCCTACCTGGCAGCCACTACACAGGCTCCACTTATCCCTCCTCATGACACGCAAAAAGACCACCCTCTCAGAGGTGATGCGGTGTCTAACGGTGGCAGTCAAGGCATTGAAAAGGGCACCTTAAACAGGTGAAGTGCCAACTTGCAACCGTTAAATGTTTCCCCACCTCGTACGCCCGCTTCGTAGAGGTCAAATTTGGAATGTTTTTTTCTATGTACTAGCTAAACAGTAGCTGCCACGCTTTGCTCATCTTTTGAGGTGATAGTGGCCGTGGCGCCTGACTCGTGGTCACGGTCACTCATCTAGTTTACTATTCACGGTGCAAAAGTGCTACTTATTTTCTGGAATCTATGTTACTTTGTTTTACGCTACTGTGAGAGCTCGTTTAATTGGTGCAATGGTTTTACTGTAATCTACATTTCTTTTTGCTATTTGAAACCACAGTGATGCAAAATTGACCAACTCAGGGGATGTAAAGCCAGATCCGAGGGCTGCAGAAGCTTCTGATGGTAAGCTGTGATTTTTGTCTTGCCTGCAGCTCCGACTTTTTTTCAAATCAAACTGGGACGCATTTACTAACTTTGAAGGATCATTGTGCCCACAAAGCTGGTTTAGGTAAATTTATTACACAAAATTTTCGAAAGGATTATTTTACACTACGATGTTTTGCGAAATTTTACAGAATGTCCCTCAGGTGGGATAGGTCAAAGATTCAATACTGTGTCTGTTCATAATCATGCAGTATGCCATTCACTTCCGAAGGTGGGTGGCTTTGAAAGAAATTGGTAGGTATTGAGATCAGGGTATATTGCGTTTAGATAAATGAGGTCTCTGGACCATTTTTACCCTTAAATCGAGATTCGTGTTCATTGCTCAGTTCCTAGCATCACATTATCCAGTTCTAATTTGTGACGCGTCTGCAATAGCTTTTACTCATGTTTTCATACCTTAATAGAGCTTGCTGTTCTTCGGCAACGCCGATTGGAGAAGCTATCAAGCTCTAGCAAGGAGAGATCAGAGCCCTGAGGTTGAAGACCGAATCGGGAGTTCCATGAAGTTGCGGATTTGAAGTGACTTTGAGAGATTCTTCAGTTTCCTGATTCTTATTTTAATCTCTCTAAGGCCGCGGTTTATTGATGAAAGTGACTTTCCCACTCATGGCTCCTATGTGACTTGTTCCGCCTCCTTTGCGTTGGGTTGTCGATTATCACTTCAGGTGGTGTGGTCTGACTGCGGACGCCTTAGGCGGTTCATCTGGGTGCTTTGGACTATCTTGGTGCGTGCGCATAGGTCACGTGCGTTTCATGTTAGTACTGGCGGCGTGCGAGCAAGCAGGTGGGATCCTGCTTTTGAATCAGGAGCGTTTACTGTGTCTAACAGTAGTCTAGCGCGCTCTCATAAATTTCCTGCATGGCCGGGTCAAAAATGTGTCGAAAACTTTCGTTTTTTATCTTCATTAAAATCATCCTTTATGACGCAATCTATTCTGCGCTTTTTAAATTTTTTATAGTTTAGTCAAGCAAAAATGTACAAATTAAGTTATTATTTGGGCAGCAGAGTAAAACTATTCTGCCATTATTTATTTTCTGATTCACATTCGTTTTTTGGGTTGGCTTTAAAGTATGTATATCAGCTGATGCAACCGCGGTATTTTTGGTTTTACGCGACCAATGGCTGAGGCAGTAAGGAAGAGGCCGTCGCGTGCATCAGAAGTTTGTTAATATATTTGATCCAAAATGGCAATTTTTAGAAATACAAAGACATAGATTCACTTCCCGTTGTTACTGACCCATTGCCATTGATAGCTGAACAAAAACATAAAAAGGATGAATCCATTAGTTCCCCTGAGGAATTGTCGAAAGAGGTCGAGGCGTGTCATTTGTGCAATGATGTAGTAAACTCACACGAATCTTCGACTAATGAATCATCAAATGAAATTTCTTATCCCGAGGACGGGACAGACTCTTACGATATCACCAAATATTTTTCTTACCGAGCACTGTCTGATGCGCTTGTAAATGCTGTATGTGAAGAACCAAAGCCGCATGGGGCAGTTTCGAGCTCTGCTCCACCACTTATGATCTCATCTGTTCTGAAAGAGACTTATTATGAATATACCTTACCTCAATGTTATAGTGTAGATGAACTTAAAAACTTTTATTCCAACCCATCTGCTGACATGATTTCGATACTTGAGAATGAGTTTTTAGAGGCAAGTTGAAAGTATTTTTTTGCCCTTTTAAAAGCATTTGTTATGCTTTATTATGGATTTGTAAAGTGGGTAGCATTACCCTCAATCACCATGCCTAATTCTCGTTTCCTACTAGGAAGTCTGTTGCGATGTTATTCCCCCAAGATCTTCCATCGAAAGTGATGACTTACTACTGGAACCATTTGCTATGGGGTTTGGATCGTCTAATGGGCATCCACTCCTTCTTCTTATCTCAGTCTATGCTCAAAATCAGCTAGTCTGGAAATCTGCCAAAGATACATTAGATCGTAAGCTGCTTGGGATTTCGGATGTCGAGAAGACTATTTGGAAAGTGGAGAAAAACTGTGATGCTCTAAAAGTAAGTTCCGTCTCAGTGTTGTAACATTACATTTTCACCTTGCCAGCTAACGCTACCTTACTTTCAAATCTTGGCACTCACTTTGCTGATGCATTCAAATGCGACGTTGGTGAAGTTGCTGCTAGCTGATTGTTAGTTCTCACGTTCCTAAATGGCTTTAATTATTCAATGTCTACTATTTAATCGTTAATTGCACTGTGGAGCTCTTGAGCATGAGTAAACAATGTAAAATCTGCAATTCCAAATGACCATGATTCCCCCATAAAAGTAGGGTATATCACGAATGTAGCATCTTTCTTAGGGGATATGTCGCGATGGCTGTGAAGTCTCTCTGAAATACGACTATGAAACTGCCAAACTCGATAGCAATCAGCTGGGTCATCTCGAATCCTTGCAGAAGGAACTAAGAAGCTACCTACTTGATCAACTATCCATGACCTCGTTTAAAGTCGCGATCTCCAGGTAGGCCTGCAATCCTACCACTGGCCTGTTTACCTCCGTCAAGAATATTCGGTGGCAAAAATCCATTGTTTTAAATTTGGTCGAACTCCCTCCTGCCTCTGTTGTTTTGTGGTGTTTTTTGCCTACCGTACCTATTTATAATGCATCGTTTCCCTTACGCTTAATGTAGGCTAGAAATCGAGTCCTACCTGGCCCAGATTTTGAGACAATGCCCGGCATTCGAAAACTTCTCTCCCAACGAACCCGTAATTCGTAAGTTTTTTTTCGTACACCTGCGTAAAAGCCTATCGACTTTAGAAAGCATTGCTATCCAATAATATCAAATTTGGTCTCATCGGGAAGGTTCTTGTTATTGAATGTTTTAGTTCTACCGGAACGTAATCTTGACCCAGAACTGGAACGACAAATAAAGCTTCTTCGTGCTGTCACCTCAGTTCTCTTCACCTGCCTGCGTCAGCTTACCTTCATTGATGTCGCTGAGACCGGAACAGTCGCGCAACATGAGCTTATCGATGACCTCATTGGATGGATCACGTGCATTGTAAGATTTCTTCTTGTATTCGTTTTCTTTATTCTCCACCATTCATGTTTTTTTTTTTTTTCATTTGCGTTATCCCTTTTGTGTGCTTGTTCCCCTAGACTGGCCGACTTGTCCGCCAATGCCGGCTCAAGGATCACGTCTACGTAATGATGCAGCTGCTACGAGTGCCGTTCAACATCACTTACACTCCGCCCGCGATTGGCTCTTCGTTGTGTGCTCTGCTGCAACCACCGGTGCTCGATATAGCATGGTTTCGGGTTGAAGGGCGCTCTTTGGACTTCCTTTCTGAACCAGAGGTGGAAGCTCGTGGAACTCTGTTTGCATTGTGTCTTCGAATACTCAAGTGAGTGCTCGTTTTTTCTTCTGAATTGGGTGTAATTGCGTTCAATCGGTATGCTTCTCTGCTCTGCAAGGAATGAAGGGCTTTATTAAAAGATGTATCGTGAATCGCTAGTACTTTAAATCGAGCATTCGCTTGCCTGCCAAAACTTTCGCGGTATGCCTAGCGGAGTTACGATCAAAAGTCAACGAACTGCAGGTCTGTGAGGAGTGCTGTTTTCCTCATTGGAGCCTTTTAATGTAAGACCTTCACCTACCCAAGCAATTGTCTTCTTTTAATTGTGCAATGTGATGTCCAAGTTGGTGCATCTGAAAATTTAGCCTGATTTTTATCTCCGCAGGAAGGGGTTTCAAATAAATCATCCTGGGGAATCCAACCTTCAAAAGTCTGCTGTTTTACGGAACTTGGATACCTCTAGTGGAGATGGCGAGCAAAAATGGACTGTTGTCGATTCCGACGGGGAGAGTGATGTGGAATGGTCGGCCACCTCCTCGACTTCCGAGAAACATGCCAACTCGAGTTTGTTGTCAGGCCGATTTGACCTGAAGCAGGACATTTTTGATGTGAAGGGTGTTAGCGCTCTCATTGACCAGGTCGATATGCCCGGTTTGATCGAGTTCCTTAATTCCCATTGCGATGAAATTGGTACGCAAAATAACCACGTAGTTCTATTCTCCTTCGCTAATTGGTTGATTACAACACTCGAGCAAGCTGCGGACTTCTTGCAAACACCTCGTGAGGACGTTCCCCGATTTCAACGGAAATTGGTCAAACAGATTACAGCCGTAATCAGTACTCTTCTCTCGGGTTTGTGGTCTCTTATTAATCGTGCGATTGCTCCATCCTCAAATCCCCCCCTACCCAGTCTCTATCCCAACCTCCATGGTCACGATTCAACCGATGTGAAGGTTATTCTTGCTCAGTATGACGAGCTTTGCCTGCGTGTGACAAGCTTGCTCCTCTCAAATGCGGCTTCATTTGCAACCAAACTCACATGTTGGCGTCGCTTCGCCCGAATGAGTCCCTTGCATCTCTTCTCTTCTCGTGCCAAACTTCGATTTTACCTCCTCCTCATCTCGGCCATCTCCCCACACGCGGGTGATGTGGAAGGCGACTTTTGTGATACCAGATTCCTCGTTCACAGCGAGGACATGCAACCCATGGATGAAACTGTCACAGAGGAGGGAAAAATGGACGGAGTGGAGGTGGTAGAATTACTTCGAGCCGCGCTGATTGATCAAGGATGTCTCGCAGATCCCTTCATCACAGTTTTGGGACAAATCGCCTCTCAGGAGTGTCGCCCACCGCCCCCTCCTGATGACCAGGAACCGACCCATTTGTGGCTGTCAAGTGGCATTCCTGTCGTGGAGAGGCTGCTTGTGGGGCGGATACTTGATATTTTATTCAGGGTTAGGGACACCACCACTACCACCATCATCACATTTCTACGATTCCCAATTATATTATCGAATTCAATCTTTCCTCCGTTTTCTAGTTGTGCACTGTGCCTACGCTTCAATCCGGAAATGAGGAGTGTGACGGGTCAAAACTATCATTTGATGCAATCCCGATATCCACCATTTGCGGCCGTGCCCAAATAATGGCGATAGTCTCAGCTCATCCAGCATTCGCTTTTCAACACCTACTGGACCTAATTATCACCTCTGCTGTTCAACTCGATACCACGACTGCTGTTTCTACCAATATCCCACAGAGACCGGATCTCTCCTCATGCAATGTTTCTGCGGAGGTAGCTATCGTTTTTTTGTGATGAACCTTTCTTTTTTAGCTTCTTTTGGATCTGATTGATGCACTCCCCCCAACCCCATTCACACCAAATGCAGATGATCTCGACAGGTTATTCTGTTGGATTGGTGGCCACCCCACGAGTGAATTGCTTCCCCTCACCTCTCTTCGAAGTCAAATTTCGCAGAAATTGCTCAACATTCTTCCATGGGAAGCTGTGAACAACACTGTAAGGCCTCTATATTAATTATCAACCTGATTTATAGACAGGAGAATACTTTATTTCGGCACAAATACAGGCGTGGGCTGCAGTCGCAGTTGCCACTGCATTTCAGCGCCGCATTCTAGAATCACATCGTCAGCCTGTTTTGAGGCTTTCAGAGACATTAAAATACTACGCTAAAAGCGTTTTACCCAGAAGATCTCCAACCCATTCTCGACGCAGTTCCTCCCTATCTCCACCCAGAATCCCCTCCTCAAGTACCACTTATCCTCCTGTGCCTTTTGACTCTGAATCGGCTTCAATCTACCACTGGACTATGGAGCTTATACTTCGTCTCCACTTGGAGCCTTCCACTGAGGCTCTCTCACGTCTTCTCAACGCTACTGACCAGTCGCAGAATCCCCTAACCACTTTCCTCATCATCGAATTTCAATTACGCCAACAACCCAGACCGCCATTACCCACAGATCGTGATGCTTGTCGGGCTTTACTGAATTTGGCCTCTTTAGGTCACTTCGCGCTTGCTATTGAGGCCTTTAGTCGGCTCTCCATTTGTCATGAGGCAGAGAAGAGGAAATATCACTCTTCTGTACCTTGTGAGTCGTTTAAGGAGTTCGTCCACTGTATGCTCAAGTTGGACGAAGTCGAATATGTGAATGAGTCCTTTATGTCGTACTTGTGGGGCAAATGGGGCTTGAGATTTTGGAGGCATAAGGAGGCGAAAAATGAGACGGCGAGAAGGGGGATACCCAGAGGACCGGTTCTGGAGGCATTCCTTGGTGCCACGTTAAACGCAAGCATCGGTTGCGCTGGTGAGGATGAGAAGCACTCACTTTTGCAAGCGGTGATCTTGTCAACTTTTTCTTTTGTGCTGACGGGTGGTCGTTGTCTTCCGCCTCAGGCTATCTGGCTTTTGGAGAATCTTTTAAAGACTGCGTTTTGGGTTGAGGAGTCGTTTCCTTATCCAAAACAATCAAAAACTGCTCATTGGTGGCAGCACCCTATAATAGACGTTTTTCGTCCATCCTCATTGGTAAGAAAGTTGTAGTAGGCTGATGTGCTTTTCTTGCAGAAGTCTTAGGGTAAATTGCTGTCAGGGAGCTGTTAAGAATACTGCTTTGTCAGCATTTTCGGACAGTTTTTGTTGCAGCATAAAGTAGCATCCTATTTACGATTTAAACTAATCTTTTGTCCTTCTTTTTTGATTTCGTAATTTCTTTTACTCGGATTCTTTCCCACTCTTCAATAGAAAAAAATAGCCGAAGAGAGGTCTGATATTGCCTCCAAAACATTAGAAGGTACCTCTGCTGAGGGCTTTACTAACCCCTTGTATCAAAACTGTCGCATAACGGCATCTTCCTGGGCCGAGGGTCTCTCCATTCTCATTCCTGCCGAAGGATTTCGATTCTACACACCCCTCTTTCGCTCTTCTGCTGCTGCCGTAGCAACTGATAGCGATGAATCTGAAGGAGCTGTGCGACTTGCGATGATTCAAGACCTCCTTCGAAGAGCGTCTGAGGACGATGAGGGACCGTTTTGGTTGATCGCCTATTTGATTGGAGCTGATTGTAACGCTGGGGATATGTTCGGAGAATATAGCTTGTGGGACGATGTGGTGGATACAATTACATGGAACAGGAGCATAATATTGGCTGTGGATTATTCGCGTTCAGGTTCTAAAGATACAAGTGATGGAGAAAAATGTGTCACATCTGTCTTTGTAAGTTAGTTTGCCATTCTTAAGATTGTTTATTTGCCAGTAAAGGGTGTTACTTGAACCGCGTAAAATGTCTTCTGGACTCTGCATAAATATCTTACGAAGCGTGCTATTTTTGTCATTGGCTGTTTCCTCATTTATGACCCAAGATTGCTATGATTCGCCTGTTCTACTCACAGATCGAGGCGGGTCTTTTGACCTCCACTTCAGCCGAAGAGAACCTGGGGCGATTAACTCGGCATCTTCCACTCGTGCAAGCCGTGTCTGCTCTCGTCGTCTGTCCTCTTCATCATCCCGCCTTCTTCCTTCTTCTCCAGCTGGCCATTACTCACTGCTTTGCCTTCTCTCGTACTGCTGGTGACCCCTCAATCAATCTCTCCAAGCAGTGTGTATCGTATGCAGACCTTATTGAGCTTATGAGTCTATGTGCAGCTAAGCTATGGATCCTCTTTTGGGGTTCAATGGTCTTCATTCATCTCGTTTCTTGTTAGCGAAAGTACTTAAGAAGCTCTAGCATGCTCCAACGACCCCAATACTCATTTTCCTGACAGTTTGATTCCTCCTATTCACTTTGTTGCCTTTTAAATGCCGCCCGATCGTATCCATCGCCATCCAAATATCCGTTTCTAATGTGTTGTTGAAAAGGGTCTGTAGCTGTTGTCGAGGATTTTTGAGGAAGTTTCCTGTTTCTAGCTGCTTTCCACCTGGATTTCTGCTTCTACGAACTCTCAGTTGGGATAAACACAATCTCTCAGTTAACTACAACACTGGGATTCGATCGTCTGTTTTGGATACGTTTCTCTGCCGTCTGCGAGAGGCACTGCGTTACTGGCTCAAACGCGACTCTCAAGATGATGTTGTCGATCCCTACGGCCTTCACAGCAGCAATGCTGTCTCGTATGTTCATCATTCACCTCTCTAATATGTGTTTCCAATAGTTTGGGTTCACTGTGTACTTGATTATTTACATCGGCTCAGATTGCTTCGAATGACCACCAGTCTGCTCTCTGATCTGGAACAAGCAGTGGCGTATCGAACTCCCGACACATTGAATGTGTGCACGATGTTGGAGAGGCTTAAGTCCTTCAATGTAAGTGGACTATAGTCGATTTATCCACATTCTCTACTTGAAGGTAAACTCAGCTCTACAGAGTGTGAGCTTGGACTCAATTGCATCGAAGATTTATGCTGAAATCGACCGGTGGCATTTTCTTCGTGGCACACATAGGCCCGTAAAGGAAGGTAGGAAATTAAAGCCTATTAGATGTCCACTTTTTCCTCAGTGATTTGGTTTCCGGGTCCGTACGCTTTAGAGTGAGGGCCTCATTAGTTTTACTGCTATAGATCACTGCGTTTTGTCATTTCCAGCCTTAATAATTAAACTATGCTTTTCGCTTTATCATTTCCATTAGAACTGGAAAGACGAACGGGTGAAAGGGTAGTAAATAGCCATGTCCTTATGGATCATGTGACTAAATCTGCACTTACACTTGGTGATAAAGAGGGCTGGGGCAAACACGTAAAAGTAAGTGTTTTAAGCGGGAGGCTCGAGATGTCTATTGTAAGGTCGTTCGGAGTGGATCCCATTGTATGAACTGCTAACACTGTGCAACACTGTACTGTTGCATCAGTCGAAGAAGACGTAGGAAAGCCCCAAGTAGCAGTAGCAGATAACTCCTGTTTCAGAAATCCATCCCGAGTCAATGCACGACTGTCATGTGTGCGTTGTATTACTTCATGGCTTACAACAGTGCAGATTTTGGAGATCCTCACAACATTGGGTTAGAGGGGGATAATGAAACTCATCCAATTTCCATCTTTTTTGTTCGAAAATCCCTCAGGTGAAGAAAGGTTCTTTTGGACAACTGGATAAAAAGTACATTTTTGAAATTTTCTCCTGATTTGTTGTTTCCATTTCTCTCCTCCTTTTACAATCGTGTGATCACGGTCTTCCAAAAACCGCTTCAAGATGTTGTTGACCGATCCATGTTGAAGTTCTCGGTGCGAAGGTTGGATCCACCAAACGTTCAACAATGTGGATTTGACGAGACTAGCATGTATGGGCCACTTGATATACGACCGGATAGATGGTACGCACTGGTTCAAGTAAGTGGAGTACAATCTTGCCTCAAATTTGATTTCTGGCCCCAAGTTCATGTGATGTGTTAGGGCATTCTCCATACTTAGGTGTGCGTCGAAAGTTTAAAGAATGTGGCTTTAATGGCCACAGAGAGGGACAGGGAGCTTCAAAACCTCCACAAAAAACAACGAGAAGGCCTTCTACCACGCCTGTACAAATCTATCACTTGTCATCAATCAGAAGTTGTTGAATGTCAACCATGTGAGCTACTCTTTTTTGCTATGCCCCTTCATGCATCTTATCTATTCATTACGGTGATTAATTTCAGTTAATTATTGTGTTAGAGTCACTAAATCGAGTTGTTTTTGCTCATGTTACCCATACAAAAATGTCACTCTTTGTTCTAATGCCTAGTGTTCAAGCGATCATATTTGTCTGCTACTGCACTCTGTCGGTTTTCACTCCGTACGTAGCAAAAATCCCAACGGGCACTATTCACGCCCATATTTTGTCTTTGTACGTCCTCTAAGGCGACTAGGTGTCAATCAGTCGCGTGCTAATGCTTGATGGATCTTTTCACCCCATCCATTGCTGTTGTAGTCATCCCTATTCCCGTGATGACCTCAAGGTCCTGCAAAGGTGGTGCGCGAATCACTCAGAACTATCAAACAGCCCAACTGGATGTGACTGTGGAAGCAGAGAACACGGAGGTCAGACGGAGGATTGCAGGTCTTGTGGAGGAGGCATGGAGTGCTGCGTTTAGCGCCGTCACTACGGTCTCCTGTCGTCAGTCTATCGCCGCGGCTGATCTTCTTCCCCCCTCCGTGCCGCGCGTGGATGAGCCTGGGGAGGGTGTAATGCGTGGAACCAGTGGTTGGGTTCTCTCCTCTTTCCGACTGGTCTCTGTGCTTCAGTAGGCTGGGAAAACTCTTTTGCGGTGGTTATTCGCTGGTGATCCCCACCCCTAAGTTCTAGTTGCCTATACGTTCACTAGTGTGAGAAGAATAATTGGTGGTGTGTAGAAAAGCTGGGATGCCGGAGAGCCATCGCATCAATTGGAAATACAGCATAGTAACTGAAGCTCCCTCATAATTAGTCAAACATCATTTTGTTACATGTGATCCATCATGAGCCGTAAACGATCGGTCACATGACATGAAACCCTGCCCTCCTACTCGGCTTTCGAGGCACCTGGGCTTGTGTATTTTTTGCCTTCTAGGCGGATTTTTGGACCAGAAAAAGTGAAAAAAGCACACATGCATGATTGCACAGAACAGCTCATCAGCATATTTCATCTCCTCTGTCAAATTTCCTCTGGACCCGCGTATGCCTTTCCACCAACAAAGGTAGTGCTTTCTCAATGCGTGGATATAATGGGTAAGTCCTCGCTCTTAAGTTGAATTCTCCCCTCTCTATATGTAATTCTACTATCCATTAAACCGCAAGGCAAGTGCCTTTTTTGTACTACATTTACAGCCGAAAATCTGCTCTCTTCTGGCGACTGCGGCTATGAGATGGTGCTGGACGCATTGACGGGTTCGCGCCAACTCCTGCAATTGCTTGCCAAACTGTGGCCCCGTCTGCTTGAGGCCTCACTGCAAGCCAAACCAGGAGGCCGAGTAAAACACTTCCTGTCTGTGTATCGTTGTTTGCCACTGATTGTACAACAGTGCGGTGCTCAAATCGCGCATGATCTGCTAACAAAGGTACTCACTTTGGGTCACCCTTTCAGCGAAAATCGCATGGACTTTGTTGATCATCTGGTTAGATGTGGCCTTTTGAATTAGTACTGGAGTATTACTATTTGGTCCTTCAGTTTCCGCCTTTACTGGGAGATAAAACGGAGGATCCATCTCCTCATTCTCCTCCAGCCAAAAGTGCCGCAAAATTCGGTGGGGCTGCACAGCTGGACAACCTCATTATAGAAGCATTCCACTGTTTAGTTGCAGTTAACACACAATCCAACCACGATGATGCATCTAAGGATCTCGTTGAGGTTGGTCAACTCTCTTTGCATAATAATAATAAATGCTTTTTGAGCTCTCCTCTCTGTCTCTTCCCGTCCATAGTTGATTCGCGGACAAGTGGTGTCGTATTTCGAGTTCAACTTCCCACATACAGTCATTCATCTCTTGGAGAATGCATTCAAGGGTACCGAATAATTTGAAATCCATTCTATCGTTACTTCCTTCCACTTCTCTGTTTAAGTACAATCGTTTATTTTAGCTCAAAATCCATCCACTCAAGAGGAGTTGTGGAATCTGACAAAAGTGGCGATTTGCAATAACTTTTCTACCCATTTTGTATATCCACTCTCAACCGATGATGTGAGCGCTTCAAGAATGTCTTTAATTATACTTTTTCCCTTTTCCTGTTCTTCATAAGCACATATTTATCACTACAGATAAGACACTTCTTGGAGAAGGCGAATGAGCGTGCATCACTTGCCTACGATGGCCGCGATCTCTCTGCCAGCACAAAAGGAGCCATCATTGAATGTCTGGGCACGCTAAATCAACAGTTGGGAGTGAAGTTGAGTCGATGTGTTGAGTTGGACCACTTGCCTCTGCAAATCGGTAAATTTTGAAAGTATTCAGCAGATCGAATTTCTTCTGCACTGCGCATACATCCTGGCATACTGTCACACCTACTCCTAAAGGCGTCATAAGTTAGAAGTGTATGGAAGGACTGGAAGTCTTCTCGCACCGTTGTGGTGGCCGGATCACATACTAATCACCAGACTGAATGCCTATTTTTAGCCCACAACATTTTGATGCAAAGCGTGCTGAATTACTTCTGGCCACGAGTGATCGATGCTGACGCATCCCCGAATGATGGTGGAATACTTCAACGCGGCTTGACGAAGTTGGCCGATATAATCGCTGATCTTTATGCATGTAAGCATATCTCGTATTGATAATATTAGTAATATCTCCCGTGGAAAAAATAAGCTACTTTCATGCATGCAGCTAGGGAGACAATCGAACTTCCGCGGTTGTTCAACGCATTTCTTAACGCCTTCGTGACACGCATCTTCTGTAAGCCCTTTAACCTCACTGAAGTGCACTTGCTTGATCAACTGAATCAAGCCTGTGCTACACACGCAGAACGTTGCGGACTACTCGAGGGCTTTCCATGGGCAGTTTGGCAGCCCACAGCATGTGTATTGTCAATCCTTACCGAAGTGGGTGCACATTCCTCACCTTTGAATTCATAGTTTGCTAAACTACCTCCTAAAATGACTTGTCGCTTGTATTTTTTAGTTCATAACTACGCCTCCCCAATCAGTTCGTTGCTCTGTGCTGGTGGCATTGTCCTACATGCTATCTCGCGTGTGCTGGGACAACCCGCCGACGGATGTACACTTGGCAGAGCATGTCGACAAACTTGTGGCTCTGACCATCTCCATTGTCTGCTGGTACGATGCAGTTGAAGATAAACAGAAACTCATATCGGTGAGCTCTTGCTCCAAAAGCTTAGTCTACCTCCAGGAAAGAATAAAACAAGCCCCAACAGATGCGTCTGTGTTATTTTCATTTAGTGCTCGGAAAATCTGCGACGTTTCATGGAAGGCTGTCGAATTTTCCTTCTGAAGCAACATAGCCATGCTCGACTGTTACCCGACAACCTCGCAAAGATTAAGCTGCGTCTTCGACCCAATGACATTACAAACACCTCTGATTTGGTGTTTGTGGATTTCTTCAGGTAAGTCCTGCACAATTGTGTAATGTGTGATTATAAAATGCTGACTTTTTCATATTCGCTAACCTTGCAGACTCCTTTCTCTTGCCTCTCATGTTGGTGAAAACTACACAAAGACATACACTTTCACTGCGACTCTTGATCCATCTCTCTTCTCCATGTGCACTTCAACTCCGGAGATTGTTGCCCAACGACGGGCATTCGTCAGCCTCTGTGTGGACTTGCTTATTGCTGTGGATTTTGCGGATGAACATGAAGTGCCTGCATCCACCGCCACAAAGGAGGACCAACCTGTTGAACCATCTACCAGCACTCCATCGCGTGCCTATTCCCTGCTCATGACTGGCGTTCTGCCTGTGGCCAGCTGCGCCATTGGAGCTATTGTAAACAGTATCACTTCCTGCCATCTTTGGAAACAGGTTTTCGGCACGAGACAGAGTACTGACGCTGAAGTGTCTGACGCCTTTGCAAAGCTGACTGAGTGCGAGGGACCTGTCAGGGGCTTTGTTTGGCGGATTTGCAGTCTCTTGAGCGACTTGGAGGGCTGCTGTGCGGTGGACTGTTGGGGTGAGTGCATCCTGTCTCCCTGCTTTGGTTGATGCCGCTTGATTTGGTATAGTAGTGGACTTAAATTTTTCCGTGCAGATTCAGTTAATTCGAACGGATTTAAAGAGACCGTGAGCTATTGCGAAGAGCTGTTAAGGCTGTGGTCAATTAATGGATCTCTTTCAAGTATTGTCGACGCAACATTCGTGTGCTGGATGTCTGAGAGGCCTATTGGTGAATCCAGCACATCTTTGATGTCTATGGAAGAGATTGGGCAGGTGCGGACGAGGACGCTCTGCAGACCCCTGCTTCGGGCTCTGCTCTACCATCTGTCCATCGTCTCCACGTGCTCATCGTTACCATCATCAGTCTCATCCTCAGAGCCGGCCTCCCAGTTGCAGTCACCCCCTCCCTTTGTGACTGTCATCAGTTTAATTGACAAGTGCTTGTGGATTCTGCTACAGACAAGTTAGTTTGTCTTTGGTAGAGATGGAAATTTGGCAGTTATAATGGGTTGTTTAAAATGTCATTGTTGAGGGTGTTGAACGCTGGAGGTACTTATGGCCTACGGATAAAATTGCATGGTTTTAGATCCCTCCAGATGCAATCTTCCCACGATTCCAACTGATTTTGAGACTCGAATGATGCGTATTTGTGAGGTTTTTGAGGATGGCTTCAAAGTTGAGACACAGGCGAATTCTCGGTTTGGCAATAGTGGCTCTTGGCTAGTACCCACCTGTCTTTCATGCAAAAAGCTCCTCCCACTCTTTGCTTACGCCTACGCCAGATGGATAAAAATCGTCTCCGCTGCTGATAATAGGAGCAGTAGTGAGCCTTCAATTCGCTCAAACCAGAGGAGGAGTGCCTACTTATCTAGCGCCTCGGACTCTCCTGCCATACTGCTGGCTGATGTAATGCACTGGTTTGCCGTGCTTGATTTGAGGTGGGTTCACCTGACAGTCAAATGACCTTAGGGCATTCAGCTTGATGTGCTTATGTCCATGATTTGTCGTAGTCGTCGCAGTAGCTTGTGGTGTCTCAACAGTCTAAATCATCAAGTTAATCCTTTTGATTAGTTCAAATCATATTCATATTTGTGGATATCAAGTGCAGACCTGGTGTGTCTTCCTAGTGCCAATGTGTCCTGTTTTGATACGAAACATGGTCATCAAAATGCCTGACCGTTTTAGTCCTTCGGACGTTTGTGCTGACAATTGTACTGCGTCCACTCAGCTGACTGGGGTGCTTCTACTCCTCCATTTGAGCCTGAAGCTCCTCCTTTCAGTGGAGGATTTGAAGGCGTGCAGTTCGTCGCAGAAGAAAGCACCACAAATTCATGCTTTTCTCAATTGCCTACAAGTTCTCATCACTAAATGGGAGGTGCTGACCCACATCTCGGGCATCTCTCAAAAGGAAGCAAATTTTGTGACCAAGTGAGCATTGCAGATTTCCACTTCCCTTACAACCACTCATTCACACTTCCCTTTTTTGCACTTTGCACTGAATTCCATCGAATGAATGAACGGTCTCGCAGTTTGAGAGGTTGGTTCCTACTACTGCACCTGGCATTGCTGCACATTGGGACTCTGTGCGTTTGTCATTATTACTAAGCGGGTAGGGTGGAGAGGTCACAAAAACGCAGAGCTAGCATTTGTCGAGTAGGTGTAGTGAAATCTGTTGATGCGAAACACTGTGAGTTCATCCGTTGGTGAGACCGGCTAAGAAATTCTTAAAAATTGAGCAGGAGAATTCGTATGATGTGCTTTGATATGGTCACTTGCCGTCACTGCTGCCTTCACTGAGGCTCTGTACACGTCAACTCCACAGATTCTGCGAAATGACGAACTGTTTGATTGGGCTGGTAGAGGAGTGGCAGATCTCACGTGGAGGCGTGGCGGGAGGCGATAGTGCAGACGCCAACCGCGGACTAGCGCGACTGCAGAGTGGAGGAGACGAAGGGACGAGTAGCAGAGGTGACCGCAGCGCCACCGACATCGCTCAGTCGGCGGTCTGTGCACTGCTGACGCACCTGCACGACCAAACAGGCGACACGGACTCGCCCCACTCCCCAGCTGTCTGGCTCATGGGCGAGCACCTACTCACCGCCTTTGTCTTCCTGTGCCAACGACTATGGTCTCCCCTGCCCAATTTCGTAGATTCCCTTCTCGCCTTCCCGCTTTGCACCACTTCTATTCGCGCCGCCTCCCAGCACGGTACTGGCTGAATGACGCCTAGTATCTCATTCCCATTTCCCCATCTATGTTTCTACATCCATCCCCATTATTCATGGTCCGTGGCACTCGTGTTGGTGCACCAATACCTTGATACATTTTAGTACCACATCGAAAGAGCTCCTTTCGAAAGTGTTACGGAATTTGTTCATAGGGTGCTGGCATGTCCTAATTTGTCCCAAAGATGGTCAATGGTAACGGCACATCGGGACACGATGTCGAATGGGCGACGTGATGTTTTTACTTGGTCGTGGTGTCTTTTAAAATTTCAGGGCACTAGGGTTTCGTCGCTTAACTGTGATCGCAAAAATCACATCCAGTGGGAACATCTCTCTGAATTGATAGAACTGCACCAGCATCACGGGAAAATACTTCTAGATGTTGCAACATTTTGATGATTTTGGACCTCAGGCGTATTTACTAATTCTTCGCCTTCTATCCTCCCCCAACTTTCTGCTAATCCGCGTTCGCCCTACTCCCTGATTAAAGTATTATTGAAAACTAACCATATGGTCGGCGACGTCGTCTTGCATAGCGGGACACTTTAACGTGTGTCAAGTTCTAGACACTGCTCCGTGTACAACGCAAAGCTGTTTTTTGCATAGCTGACCGTAGTCGAGTTATAGCAGTATTAAATTGAAGGACTTGAGAAGCGTCAATGGTAAGTTCCACTAGAAGATTCGGATTTTCATTTTGACCTCCGCTCGAGTCTAGTGCCACAAACAACGAAAATAAAGTGGTATGGGTAAAAGAAGCCGCACTTATCACGGAGCCAAATTTGGGCCTTCTATTCCAAGGTTTTAATTGTTAACAATGGAGCGGAAATTTAACGCAGCCTCTCACATCAAAGATACATGTTTGAGTTCTAAAACATAATTTTGTGGCATCAAACTTGGAGCTTCTAGATGTAAAAGTTGGCCACATTGTGCGATTTGCTGCATAATTACTGCAAACGAGGTCATTAAAGTTATTTAGCAGTAGTTTTACACGGCCCGTTGACATCTTCATGGTTGTCATTTTTCCATCAGGACGACCTTGACATAACATAATGCCGCACCAATGCGACGCGAGGATAATGCAAATCTAGTAAAGAAAAACTAAAGTCCTATGTTTCCGGTAAAAGTTTAGTAACTCCAAGTTCTATCTCTAAGCACAAAGCATTTTTGTTCAAGCAATAAATGTGACTAATTGTAGATAAAAAAGGATGATATAGAGCGCTCTTTCGAGGGGAATATTAGCAATGAAAGCTACATTTTAGCAACGGAAGCTGCCTTTTAGCAACAGTTTTGGGTAAGATCTTGTGCTTTTTACCCATTACTGATTTGCTGTTTTAAAGCGGGGGAATTGTGGAGTGTATTGCATCTTCTTGTTAGCAAATCCTAAAAATAATGGGAAATCGCTTCCACCTCTTTAGGGATCGGTGACTTCCTCTGATCAATGTACTTGACGCAAAATGATCAAATATCACCTAAAAATTGCAGTTAAGGCTTTACGCGTTACACTTATCACAGTGATTTTTTCTAACAGACATGCTATACGAATATATTAGCACCAGACTTGATAATGTTTTATCATTCATGCCAACTATGAGACCTTAGCTCTCATTAGTTTTACGAACTAAATAAACATGATGTACACATATTCAGAAAACTTATGGGTTTTCCAAAGGGCCACACAGCTATAAGGAAGCGCAAGTTTCGAAAACTGAATGTACCTAAATACAAATATATAGTCATGACTATACAAAGCACTCTGGTGCCAATTTTATTTTAAAGGGTGCTGCACGCTTTTACATAGTAAATTTGATTGTTTGTTTGGTTCAAGTCTTTCAAGGACAGTTTCAGGATGAAGTTTGGAGAGTAAGTAAAATGTGCTAGTTCTGCGTCGAACTTTTCGAAGTACTTGTCAGGTCCCAGTTTGCATTTTAGTGTACAGCTGAAAATGTATCATTGACCGGCTTCAAGTAATCTCTTCGCTACTCTTTTTTGCATTCTGGAAGTTCACGACACAATAAGGACACACTTTTCACTTTGGAACTTCCAAGTTTAATGCCCAAGAATTTAGACGTACCACTTGTTTTCGTGATGATATGCAGTACTCTTTCTCCTAATTAAAACCCCACAACTCAATATGCTGTATGTTGCTGCTTCTTAATGAGCCCTATGCCAAGTCTTGGAAAGGGAGGAAGGAAGGAAGGGAGGGAGTGGGGAAGGGAGAGAAGAAGGAAGTGGGGAAGATACTGACTCATCCTAGACCTTTATCTAAGCAGCAATTTTCACCTACATTTGAACGAATCTATCAGATTATTAAGAAATGGCATGTGAAGGTAGAAAGACGGTTTTGAAACAAAATTGCCTGAGTCCAAAATGCAGATGGCTGCGGTTAGAATGTTAAATTATGGGGTCAGCACTTGTCAGAATAATGCCGCATTAAAACTGAGGCCTTTACAGAAGAGACTTCAGCTTGTACTGTCGGTTAGTTTTCAAAAAATCTCATCGTCGTCAATAAATTTTTACCATCTTTTATGGGTTCTAATGTGCGATTTGTAAAGGATGGTTATATTAACCATTAATCATGGTGCAAAGGTGAATGAAATGCTTCGACTGAATAAAACGGACAGTAGAATGTATTCGCCTTGTGGCTAAAAATTATCCTAAATAAGGAGCTTTTTTCTCTAATTTTTACCTCTGAACATTTGTTCCATTCAAATAGATGAGTTAAGGAATTTGACCACATTTTGGCTACCGTACTTAACTTCTCTGCAACCCAAGTTCTTGTCATTTGTTGACAGTAAAAATCGGAAGAGAATTACCTGTCAGACATGTAGCCATTATTTACTACCAATTTCTTGTGCTTTGTATCGAAGGCCTTAGCTCTCAATTGTCTAAAGAAATGATTAATTTTCAACGTGGAAAGGTTGAAGGCAAGAGGTTCAAATATCAGGCATAGCTAAGTGTTCATTAAAACAAATGTTCGATCACCACTATATAAAGCATTCTAGCGTCGCCTTTTATTTGATAAATACTGTACGCTTTCTTGGTCTCGGTTTCAGCCTTTCGTGGCCAATTTTGTAATGCATCATTAGTCATCTCCAAATTATCTATTTGCTTCTCTACACTTCTACATTTTACGACAGACCAAATGTCCTCTTTTCACTATGATTCGCTCACATACCAATGGCCAAGGATCTGAAGATAAGATCCATCTTCTCGATACGGTACAACTGGAAGGTATGCAGTACTCATCTCCTTATTCCAAATTCTACGACTCAGAACGTCATGTCTCATTCGGCATAACACAAGGCTTGCTTCAGAAGAAGCCTTTTACACCTTATCTTAGGAAAGGGGGGAAGGAGGAAGAAGGAGAAGAAGTAATGGGGGAAGACACACACACTCATCGTTATTCATTATCTCAGTATTTCTTGAAGTGATATTTTACGCCAGGCAGTTACACGCAAAGTTGTACAGACGGTTATAAAATTAAAAAAGTGGGCAAAAGTGTAAAAAAGCTAGGATTTGGAAGTTAAATTATTTTGTCAAAATATTTCTGAGAAATTTAGCATTAATTCTTCTACTGTGTGGGCGAGATCACAACTTGTACCCTTGGTTATTTCTTGATAAAAGCATCCCTTGACTAATAAATCTTTACCATCTTTTCTTTCAGGTGATTTTAGAGTGTAACTGACAAGTCCAAGTGATATTCGCTTAGATTTTCTTCATTGTACCACTAAAAAACAGCTTTCGACGAGTTATAACTCGAAAAGTAACCCTTATTCATCCTCTTCTTCTTCTTCTTGGGTATTGGATAATCATGCATAATCCTAAAATTATGCTGCAGCTGAGTCATTACAAATGACGAATAGCATTTTTTTGCACAAGAGAAAATAGCAATCACGCCTAAAAGAAAAAAAATTTCGTGTAGTTACGAACAAATCCCTGTAAGGAGTCGCCTGTGTGTTGATGGTAACATAAAAGACGATTAATTCACAACACAAAGTTGTGAGAATTCAAAAATAGCATTAAATATTTATAAGAATAGCTGCAAGATTTCCCAAAGGCTTAAAACGCTTACAAATGAACAAAAATAATAGCATTCTTCTTCTGAATTTCAGGAACAAAAAATATGACTTGTATAATATATGGACATTTTAGCTTGCATTGGTTGGGTAAATATATTTATTTGAGATGTTTTTAGAGTTGATAAGTGCATTTTCTGCTTTCGCGGTGTCAACTTTAGCTAATCCAAAAAACCTTGCTTTTCAGCATTCGTGATACTTAGTAATATTAAGGAAGTAATAATTAATTTCCCTTCACTGCCAGTGAGAATTTTTTAGGATCAAAACATAATTAAACTTGGAAATTGTTTTATAGCTCTTTTGTCTAATGTATGAACTTGGTGGCAAATGTTTGTTTTCGCTGATGGCCCCATCACTGACACTCCCCGCTACTTTTGAGTCATCATGTGTGCCATCTCCGCGTGTGGTTGATTTTAGCTCGTTTAACTGAATGGCAAAATCTAGTTAATAGGTGGGCATATTAATAGCATAGTAAAGTATTTTGTTTCAAGATTTCTGGTGCTCGCGTTGAAAATGGGGGCAGTGTTGGAGGCGGGAAACCTTATCATCTAAGTATTATTTACAATTTACATGTCTCACCTATTCATAGGCTTCAGTACTTTCATGTACTTTGCAAAAAAAGGCCGCAGCCAAGTTGTGACTGCAAAAATGACTTCTTTTAGTGCTCCTTAGTAGATCTACTCGCTAGCCACTCCACGTTTCTAAGGCATTCACCGCTTCATTCTCACAAGACCGTGGCTGCTCCTACCTGATGGAATGCGGAAAAAACTCCGAGAAAGAATTTAGACAGCCAGAACTGGAAATCTCCTTTCCAGTCAGGTTTGTCGCGTGCGACATGAGCTGATTGACTTTTGAGAGTTGCGTAGAAGTGCATAAAGGGCGTTTCTCCCACTGATTTACTCACCGGTCCTGCCTAACATGCCTTCTTCTTCTTCAGACAAAGCTGCTCCTCCACACCTTCCACTTGCACCGTATCAAGTAGATTAGATGGATTTCTACCACATCAAGCACGCATGGAACTGTGAGGGAGAAGTGGATAGCGAAACAATGAGTGGAGGGTTCGGTTACAATCCACAATGTGTCTGTCAACCATCATTACTGTAGTACCTCTCATCATATGACATGTCAGCTCTTCAGTCTTTCAGTCCGTTAATCAGTACTGACGAGCAACCTGAGAATAGTCTTTTGAGCTCCTTGTCTGTCGTCTATTGAGGCATGTGGCAGATGGACACCTGCTTGTCGACTGCCGTGACTATTCTTTTCCACTTTATGCAGATGTTAATCAGTTATTTCAATCTCCCACGTCAAGCATACCTAAAAATTGTCAATTACCCATTTATTTACAAACTAGTGACAAATTAATCCTCATGATTATCACATAGCGGAGCCATGCCTCTACGTGATGCTGAGTTCCACCATGGCGTAACACGCCTTCACCGAACGGTGTGGAGCAAATAAGATAGGAAGTTACCTCCTACTTCAGTTCAATTTTGAGACTGAGGGAATGACTTGTGAAGCGGCGGGAGGCACTTTTGCATAACAGCTAACGAACCCACTGTTGGTTGAGCACATACCCTCCACTCCATTGCCTACCACTCACTTCATCCCCACAGGCCCATGCCTACTTCTGCAGAGGAAGTTATTCCATCACACTTTCCATCTGCTATGTGCTAAACAGGTGGATCTTTGCCGCATCAAGTGGAAATGGTTCAGCTGTGACAAGACGCTACCTTCCATTTTCGTACAGCTGTGGCACAAAGCAGGAATCTCATCCAGCAGTTTCAACCGACACTTTATAGAAGATAGTTCAAGAGCAGGGGAGAATGCTACGAGTGGACTAGCGATAGACCAACAAATCCTTCACCCTTCAAAGCAGTAAATTCTCTGCAACATTTTATTTACTTGGCATTTCCTAAATCTTTTTTTTTAGCAGCAAGAATAAGTGCCTTTTAAAACAATAAACTGACACAACAGAGGGAAATGCGGCGGAGTTTTTAAACATTTCCTTCTTTTTTCTTTCCTTTTTACAGATCATCTAATTATTTCTTTCCCCAAAACTGCTAATGGAGGGAAACAAAAGACCCACCATTATCCCAACGCGCCAAGCTGGAGGAGTGAAGAATGCAATTAGTCACTCGGTCTCGACCACAGCATCACACACACCCCACCGTCCAACCAAAACATCCAACTTTATAATTAACAGGACATGTCGAAGGAGAGACTGTCCTTAATCTGCTTCTTAAGACCATGCCATCCCCCTTTCCGGTTGGATAGTTCCCTTCTCTTTATTCATTTTTTTGACCTAGGAGGTATTTTGCCACCTAGGGTGATGAGGTGACCATTTGGGTCTGTCTGTCGGTCTACTTGTACCTGGAATAATTCCACTGGTTGAAGGGGAAAAAATTGCGCTACCCTTGAGGAAGGGGATTTGCTGTGGGTGCTGAAATCACAACCGCCCTAAAGGAGGACCGCTGACAAGTGAAGCGACATTAGATTTGTGAATGTGACGCACGTGGTGGCTCGAAGCCAAAGACGGTTGGGAAGAGAGAATTGTGTCCCTTAGGCATGAGTTATACCAACCCAGTGAACCAAATTGCATCGCCGATGAGGGAGTTAATATATGAGATTCGTTTCTAATCAGTGAAAATTCTTAAAAGGCAAGGAATCCTAATGGGCGTGAAGATCTGAGGAATTACGCCTCGCTAAAATAAGATTTTAAAAATGGTGTGCATACGTGTGGATGACAATTTTCATACCTTTTTAGCGTGAGGGAATGACACCTCCATCAATTGGGAAAGGATAACCAAGGAAACTGATAAGAAAATGCGTACCGATTTCCACACATCATCTGGCACGTGCACCAAGAGATGACAGATGGTGTAAGCTTTAGAGGCTTTTTTTGGGTTTTACTTGTCTACTGACTGAACCACTGGCTTATAATGTGATGCGAGATTCATTGGCGTGACAGCTGGCGAACACATTGTCAGCTGTGCTTGAAGTCTCCACACACAACCCACTTTGCCCCTACGAGTTCAATGCCTACTTTATACAGCAAGGATACATCCGATCTGCTCAATCCAACGCAAGCGTTAGAAAGAAAGTTTTTCCCATTCCTACAAGTAACTCGTATCGCATACTGAAAAAGCTGACATTGAGCCTTGAGAACAGTTGCATTTAATTTTAAGAGGGAGAAGGGAAGAAGATGAATTGGAGAAGTACAGATAATCCCCCTTATTCCGGTCATTATCTTCCACAATTATCTACTGACGATCAAATGAGCAGAGGCAAATAGAAGGAAGCAAGTCTGTATAAATTGTTCTTTTTCCTTGTGGAGGAAATTGGAGCACGTTTCATAAACAATTTAATGAAATTAGGCAAAATGGGCAAAATTAAGGAATTACAAGTATTTAACAAAATAATTTATCGTTAAGGCGGTAGCGAGTAGTATATGAGTAGTGCGTTGTGGAAAGAAGAAGACGCCTCCTTATTGGTTGATGGGCTACAATCCCATTGGATACAACTCCAATAAAAGGCTTTTTTTAAAAATATCTCATGCTCACATTGATTCCGACTCTCACTAATTTGTAGGTCTGTCTTTTTTTATACACGCTCTCCTCTCCCCTCCACCCACTTTTTTTATCCTCCCATGTAATAATTATTCACTTATTTTACTGAGAGGAAAATCACCTGTGGCCTTGTTCCAATTTACCCTCCTTTTTGTGTTTCTTTTGCAAATTTGATGCAGACGCAATAAGCATGCAAGCAATGACTTGCTTGGGCCTTCCTCTTCGATTGGTCATCATCCTTACAGCTCTTGGTGAGTTCGTTTTTTCCTAGCAAAACTATACAACTTCTAATTTTCAATCTTTTTAAGTGGAAAAAGTACAAGGTATTTAAAAAATTGACTCTTTAAATATAAGTACTGACAGGTGAAGAGGTGATTCGTTACATGTCTCACAAGTTTTATTCATCCCGTAATTTAATGTCGTGGACTATGCTCACCTTAGGCGCCATCAACCTTACTTTGGCTTGTCGAGTGTACATTAAATAATGCCACTTATTCTGTAAATTAAATCTTTTCCAAAATTGAGAAAAGTTAAAGTTTCGTTATGACATGACAGCACCATCTGGTTAGATCTGTGGGGTCTTCTCTGTAGGTAAGTAGTTCAAACCTTCCTAACGGAACAACCACAGCAAGCTTTTTGGCTAGCAAACAAAGCATCTTAAACCCCGCAGTTATAATTGCCTCTACTCAAGCCTGAAATTTGTCACTATTTTTCGCCCTAAATAACAGGCGTCATTACGTGTACGCCGTGGGGATTGCGGGATTACGAGGCCGAGGGGAGGAGTGACCTCGATCCCCTCTGGCTGACTAGACTACTTGAGCGTCAGGAGCCCTACGACGCGGACCTGCTGGCTCCGATTGAACTGAGCGACTTTGGCGCCAGTCGGAAGAGAAGTTACGCCAGACCTGCCATTCGCATGGGGTGATTTGCGACTGCTTGTTCTCCCGTGTTTCACTTTCCTGTATATTGTGTTGTTCATGCTGACACAATTTTAAAATGATCTAAAAAAGGTACTGCCGTCACTTTTCCACCCATACGTCTCAGTCAGTGGAACAAAAGGACAAAACAATTAAGTTATTAAATGAAGGAAACAGACAAGATTAGGGTTACGATCAGGCCAATTAATAGGTTGTTTAACTGGAAAATACTAATTTAAATTTGCGAGGTACTCTAACTTAAAAAGACGCGTTTATTTATGCCCAAGACCCGATTGGCTGTTCAGATTTCCACAATAAGAAGTAAAGGTTAATCACTAATACCGAAACCGGTTCTTCAAAAATAGGCGACTAAGCCAAAAAATTAAAATAACCTTGGCAACATTTGAAAAAGGCTAAAAAATATAAACTTGTTTACTACCAAGTATGTAAGGTACCCGTACGAAAAATAAGTAGCCAAAGTACCACTGTTACTAAAAGCCCTTTCTTTACAGAAAAACCATAAACACCTTTTTCTAACAGGGTTCAATTTGCCACTAGCATTATGCAAAATGGTGCAAGTAATATGAGTTGGATAGCTCGAAAGTATAAGCGTTAAAAATTTCTACGGTCTTGAAGCAGACCGTAAAATTTCTCGGTGGTCTCATCCTCCGGACATTTCAATCAGCACCTGCCAATTTGCCCTGCTTAACCATATTCGTGTGGTCTGTACAGGTCCGAGTATTTTAGTAATTTCCACTATAAAGTTGCATGCGAAAATCTAGTGTGCGCTTTACAAAGTGTGAAAGTAATCGTTAAAGGGGCAAAAAGATGGGATGGCTGCTTTGAATAAGCCACGGTAGCCAGCGCTGTTTACCCTTCACCACCGCCGACCTCATGTTTAGCCTTACTAAACTACAATGGTAATTTTTGCAAAAAGTTGATATCCCTTTTAACAAATGCGTTATTCAGGTTAGCCATACTTCCTAATTATTATTATATCCATAGAATATGGTGATTAAGGGATTTCAGCAGCCCCTACTCTTCTTAACGTGACGCATCAAGTCTGGGTCAAACATGTAACAGCAAATCAAGAACAAAACTTTACCAGTTGAAAACAAATCTACCAAATGCTAGATTGTTGATTTATTTTGTAGCAATTTAAATTTCTCTTAAGAAGCGCCATCAATAGGCATAAAAGTCTCACCACCTATTTAATATGCTTTCGGAAGGAACTTTTCCATATTAAGCCGTAATTTAATGAATTAAGCAAAAAAACTGTTTGGTCCAAATAGATATTCGTTTTTGTACAGTCTTAATATGAATGAGAGAAGTTAAACCATGACCATGTTTGAAAATCGTCAATCCTGGAATGCGCGTGGGACAAAATGTTTGTCGACAGGACAAGAAAATAGGGGATATGGTCAGGGAAAATTAGTTTATGGGATAAAATGTAATTGGTTTTTCAACTTTCCCATGGGAAAGCTCCATTTCACTTTGCATAAAATATTTAACAAACCTTTGTTAGAGATTTATGCCTCCTCGTCAATTAGGTGGATGTTGCATAAAGAGAGAAGAAAAGCCGCTGCACCTTTAAGCATAGATTTATTTGCTAAAAGAGACAAGTTTTTCTTCAAGTGCTATCATTTCGCTGTAAAAGAGGAAGATACTAGTTGGGGATTTGGGAGTTGGCGACGGAAACCACTCTACATTACAAAGCCCTCCAGGTCGCCGTGACAGTCTAATCTGCCTAAAAGTGCGTGGCAACGATTTAAATGCTCGTTAAGGATAACATTACAAGTTTATCGAGAAATATGATGGCTTTTCGCACAAAAATATCTCTGTTACATTCACAAAAAAAATATAAAACCAGTTTTAACTGCCCGAAATGGCGAAGAAGACTGCAACTTCCCCATCCACAGTTTTTAAACCACATATAATGAACTACCAGCCAGGCAAATTCTGAGAGTCACACAATAAATAAGTAAAATGTTTAATCTGGATGATACATACGTAAAAATAGGATTTCACACGTTTAGAAAGCCATTTAATAAGAAATGAGTTTCCTCCTGCCCTTTAATCTCTTTGACAATTTGTTCTCTTTGAGCTAAAATTCACCATCTTATTAAGGTGAATCTGCAGACAAAATTAACCATTACTCTAGTCTTTGGACTACAGGTAACTGCCTTCCTAACATATAGATCGCTTTGCCTGGTAAAGTAAGTAATTAAAACCCGGCCTTTCGTCATAGGCGGCAAATGTGAGGGACGATTCTAACAAACAATTTGCCCTCATGCTGCCACAGGGGTGAGCTTAACACGCCACAATAACTACAAGAACAAATTAACTTTAATGAGCTACGGACTTATCTTTGGTCTTTTCTTTTTGAATCTAAATGATTTACAAATTAACACAAATCAGTTCTAATGCAATCCATTTTGAGACAAATTTATTCCAAAATTTTTTCTAAAAAAGCAGAATAGCATAATATTTTTATAATTACATAAGTTGTGAGCATAAATTACCCACTTTTTAATGGAATATTTGATAAAAATTGTCTTTTTATTTATAGTTTTAACATTTACTCAATTCGCATCGCATTTAAATAAAACCAAGGCCTTTGAAATCACTCAGGTCAAAGCATTTAATTTTAATGGTCTTATGATGGAGGGATCTTATAATGTCTCAGACTTCCTAGCTAGTATCATTAGCAGTAGTGGTTTGTACCATTCTTAAAATTCGTATTCGTATTTTTAAAGTGGCTGGATAGTGTGCAACTCACCAAATGACCTGGAACCGTATTTAAAAATCAGTGAGAAAATTATGTTTGAAGACCTTTTCAGCCCCCTTATTTGTGTAAAACTCCCGCGTCACAGCTAAAAGATGTGTAGTTATCTAAGGGTATCCCACTAGACGGGATCGCAGTACCATGTAATTTCAAGATGGAATATTAAAGGAGACCCACACCTTCCCATTAAGTAAGGCTGCAACCTCCACAGGCGAAAATCTGGCCTTTGGTAAGTTATTTTTTTTTTCAACTAACAACCGGTATGAAAAAGCAGCCAGGAATGGCGCCGAAACTACAAAGGAAATAGAGAGGGAAGGAGGGAGGGAGAAAGGGAAGAGTGGAAGCGAAGTTGGCGGGGGGAGCGGATGAATACTGCCGCATCCTCGCTCGCTCTTCTCCTTTAATGATATCTCCCTAAGTGCTTAATATAACTCCAGTCTCCCTTGAAGCCTCAACAAATCAAAGTACCACGGAAGAGCATAAATCGCAATACCATGTAAAGAGTTTGGAAGGCTACGCGAACTAGCTTAAAGACCACGGCCAGTAAAGTGACCACATCCTAAGTTTTAAAAGGTGGTTTTAATGACTTCAACAATCTTATTCTTTTTATGCTTAAGTGTTCATTGTAGCTAAAATCATGCTTAACCGCATAATTGGTGCACTACAACAAAGTTATATCAGACTCTTGATTCACATCCTCATGACTGGCGGTCTCGGTTCAATTGTCTGCTTGTCTGCGTTTATTTGCTTCAAAAGGCGCAGGAAGTGTGGACTCATGAATGTAGAGGATGAGACATTTGACCTCACTTTCTGTTGGTACGTCATAGCACTCCAGCCAACAAAAAATTTGAGTCACTTTGATATCTTGTGCAGTCCTATGCTACTTATCACGAATTCAGTAGACTGCTCTATATTTCGTGATCTGCTGGACTGAAATGATTAGAATTTGCGAGTAATGTTTTAAAAGGGGTATAGAGGTGGTGTTCAACAATTTTCACAGAGAAGGCTTGATCATTTGATGTCATCCTGCTGTGGATTCAAGGGAACTTCCTACTACCCTCCCTGATCGATGGATCCTGGCTTTTGTGACTACTTAAAAATCAAGTGCGCCGTTGGTAAAGCCCACAGCCCTACAGCTTTGGCTAGTTGAATTATAATAAGACGCAGGGCACACTACAATTCTCTTGCGTTTCGAATAAACAAAAGTTTCTGAGGAACTACAATCCATTTTGAAAAAGAAATAGCACCGGAATGAGAAGATTTCCCATAAGAAATTGAAAAACCTAATGCTCTTTATAATTGCGTGAGTTTCGAGTCTATTTTACTCTATTTATAAATAAAATTTGTAGGGTAATCTCCTTTCATATTTTGAATGTCTTACCCTTCATTCCTGTCTTATGCGATTGTTTCTGTTATTAGTGCGGAACGCATTAGCGGGAGGTTCATCCTGTGTCAGGGTAATCCAGAGATTGAGGAGTCAGATGGAGAGGGGTCCAACCAACTCATTGTCCCTCCAAGTGATTGGTGTGTGCTGTGTTCAATGCAGATCTTCCTGTTGGCTTGCACTGAATGACTTGAAGCCAAGAGGTGTCTGCCGTTGTGGAAGAACAACAAGCGTTTCCGTATTTACTTCGTTGTTGGTACTGGCATTACTGATTGCAGAACGATCTCCAACACCGATGAAATGTGTTAGCATAAGGCACTGGCTGATTTCAAATCGGCGACTGAGAAGGTGTAAAAGGAAGATGAGGAGATGGCGAGAAATTTGAAGTGGACCCAACTAGCACACTGAATGCAGTGGACAGCGCGGTTGCTTATTTACTTAAATCCTCCACTTATGTGATGCAATCCTGTCATGCGCTGTGTACGAGACTTCTTCGTATTGCGTACAACACAATTGGTCACTTCTTCTCCTTCCAAAGTGAAGGAGGTACCTCGAATGCAACAGATCTGTGCAGGCGCCTTCATCGCACTTTTTCTTTCCTTTACGCCTACATTCTGCCAGATGTAGCGGTCGCGAACAGAGTGATCCACCTCAGGTATGATTGCTGATTCCAACAATTATGCCATTGTAAACATTTGATCGTCCACCTATGTTTGTGTTATACGATAGTGGTTTATCCCTCGGTACCGGTGAGGCGCCACTTTTGGACTTTGAATTAGCTCTCTTGTACATTGCTGAGTGGGCTGGCCTTTCAGGTCATGCCGGTAGCCCAGACACCT